TTGATCTCAAATATTAGCTACCCTGGTCTAATTCTATTTCCAGTCCATTTGACTTATTATAGTAATTTGTACGATTTGGTATCTCAATAAAAATTGTTCTTATAAAGATTCCTACAGACACGCTGCTCTTTTTTATATGCAAAATGTGGAAAGCAATTAAAAACCATGTACAATGTTGCATTTCAAATCTTAGGCGCCAAACTATCGGTAACCGGCAAACCGTTTTCAGAATTTCACGCTCATTCATATATACATGCATACATGTAGCTGTTCAAAAATAAAGCTTCTATGGGTTTGTCACGTTTTTATTTTGTACGAGTGGCATAGTTTTTCTTCACATTTTTTGAGTTTTTATTTTTTTTTTTTTGTTCATTGTTTTCCCGATTTTGTATTTCCTTATGACTTTTACCCATTTGGTTTTGCTTTGCTTATGCATTTATTTATGCATTTCAGCATTCAATTTTAAATTAGTTGCGAGATTTTTTTTACTTTTGGGTGCAAGCGTTGGCAGATGCCAAGTATGTTAGCGGTAGCGTTAAAAATACTCAACTGCAGGCGTACAACAAATACAACAGAAATACGTCAGAGCTGATGGTACGCAACAAAAGAGCAGTGAAGTATTTATTAAAATATACTAACGTAGACAAATGGAAAAAAAATTATCTCATGCAACATGCAACAGCAGCGCACTAAATTACTATAACAATAAAAACAACGTGACTTTTGCTAACATATTTACATAACACATACATATGCATGACTGGTGCGCGCCACTTACTTATTGCGCCACCTTCTACAAAGAACGCTTTGAAAACGCCAAAGCGAAGACAACAATAGCGCTTAGTAGCAGCGTTGTAGCACAAACGAGCAGCAGCTACTTTGAGTGTCTAAAATTTATTGCCAGCTGCAAAAAAGCGGACACTGCGCTTCAGCGACAGTAGCCGGCAAGAGGCTAAAGGTCATCAGCTGCGTTTCAATGTGTGCAGAGGTGCGTGCATGCGTCCAAGCACGAGTAATATTATATATATAAATACTATATCGTATATACATACATACAAATGTATGAATCCAAGTGCAGCCAGCTTGTTCTGCTTTCAACAATGTTTCGCCTGTAAAATTTATTTTTGTTGTACGCTTCATGTGACGGCAAACATTTTTAACTTTTTCTTGGTGTATTTTTTTTTTTTTTTTCGTTTTACTTCGGCTTCCAGCTGCAACTGCTTAATGAAAAGTCAACAAGCGCTAAAAGCTTCACTGTAGTGCTTTTGATATTTCTTCCGCCGTTTTTGGTGCACACCATGCTTGTCAGCTGCGCACAATTTGCGTTCCACTTTTCTTCTAAATATTCAAACTCATAAAAATGCACTTAAGTGCTATTTAAAATATAAATTTTTGGCAAATTTTTTTTGAGTACAGCAGGCACTAATTTCTGCCGTAGAAGTACCTACTTCTCACAGCTGGTTTAAAAATTGAGAAAAGAGTTTGGGCCACTAAAATAACTTCCATATAACTTTAATGCATGTTAAGAGTTAAGTCATTTTATCATGGACATTTTTTGTATTGTTTAATACAAATAAAAAAATTTAAGCGCAACTGAAATATCATTGAACATTTGAATCTCCTTTGTTTTAATCTTGGCGTATGGTATCAAATACGCTCTCAAATCTCTCCAAATTTCTTTTCATTCATATACTTGACATTGGCTGATTTCAGTTAGAAAACTTTTTCATCATTTTAAAATTGTATTTTGCTCGTGAATTGTACTCGCTATGTTCAGCTTAGTAGTCAAACACTCGGCAGATTCTTAGGCTGCATACAGAGCAAAAATGTCACTCACAATAAAAATGTTTCAAAATTACGCTTATAAATTGATTTTTCTTTTAATTAAGCAGCTAAAGCACACAAATGAAAAAAAATAAAACTTTACGCTTTTCTTCAATATTTTCCTGAAGTATACAGTTAGTAAAGACTTTGAATAATTCCTTATACGTACTTACATCTATGCCCTACAAACAAAAATTTTTTTGGCTATTTTTCATCACGCTCCGTACTCTTTTTCCACTTTTAGCGCAGTGGATAGTGTGAAAATCACTTTTTTAGTTTTATTTTAATTATTTCTGCATACATACTTACATATATATTTTTGTTGTATACAAAAACTTTAAAAACAAATGCTATTACATTTGTTTATTCTATTTATAATGGATTTCCCGTATTCATTGTAGCTAATTTTAGTTTAATGAGCCCACAAGTAAATATTTTCAGCAATTTTCATGTAAATGTCTTTTTGCAGCGCGAGTTTACCATGACGAAGCCACTCGAAAACAGCTAGCTAAATGAAAACAACGATAACAACTGTAAATGCAATGCAAGTACACAACTTCTATTTATTTTTATTATACCCTAAACCGGTGTATGCTAAGATGTTTGAAATACGCAAAAGGTAACATCAGAGACCCTTGAAAATATATATACATATAATTGATCAGTGTGATCAGCTGTCATGTCAGTCCCTAAGTTTTTAAGATAACTATCTGAAATTTTATAGACGTAATTTTTTTCTACCGACAACTACAAGTATAGCATATACATATGTTACATAGTTTCTATAACAAGGTTCTGAACGATCGAAACCAAGTCCTTGTATGGAAACCTCTTTAATTTGACGAGATATTTACATGAAATTTGGCATGGGTTATGGTCTAAGACAACGTTGCAATCGCCGAAGATATTAATCAGCTCGAATCATTTTAGACCGATCAAAATCAAATTCTTGTACGAAATCTTTTATATTTGTGAAGGGTATACCACTGCGGTGCAGCTAAAGTTAACGCATTTTCTTATTTTTTATTTTCATTTAATTTGTTGTTTATGTTTTGGTCACAATTTTATTTTTGTAGCTGCCACGCAGCAGCTAACTAAATAAAATTTCCCCCAAAAATGTGCGTTCTGTGCAATGTGGCGCATTTAGTGTGTGAATGCATGCATAATCTGTGTGTGTGTGTATGTGTGTACGAGTGCTGGTGCACTTTGTTCACTACGAGGATTGTGTTATTTTTAAAGCGATTTGAGTAAAAACAAATTTCGGAATTCCACAGATGCTTGCATTTTGTGTCATCAACATGGAAAATGTGGATAAACAGAAAAGCGGAACTTTAAAATACTATGTATATATGTACATGTACAAATTAAATATGCAAAATAATTTTGTAGTAATGTAATTAATTTGCCTATTAAGAGAAATTGCTATTTATTTGTCCCATTACTAATTTTGACTCTGCAACAAAATCAAAAAAGAGACCTATATTTTTTGAAATTATTTTCCAATAATAAACATTTGTTGACATTTTTTTTAAACTAAATTAAAAATTTGGGAAAACTTTAGAATACCGTCCCAGAATTTCGGAAATAAAATTGGTATGGGCGGATAGAGGAGATTCTCCAGATCAAGTAAATATAAACATTTTCCCTAGATCGTAAAATACTATTCAAATTTCAAGAAAATCCGTAGTGAACAGAGCGAGTTATAAAAACAGTGTTTTCAAAGATCAAAAAAGCGGCCTTTGAAAAACTTTTCATTTCATTTTCTAAATGAAATTGTACGTTATTTTCATGCACATGTACTTATGTGAGGCGCTTTTCCAACAGCATCAGCTTATATCGCCACATTTTTTGAATTTATGCACATTTTTATTAAATTACCTGAACTACTAGAGACCTTTTTTGTAGACATACTTGGAAAGACTTTCTTAGAGGTGTCAAAAAATATCTATTTTAAAAAACCAAACAAAAAAAATGTTATATTCCTTTTTTGGGCGAACCTATTTTATATTCTATATAAAGCTTTGATGATTCGCTCATAGTACTCGTATATATGTAGTTATAATAGTAAAAATACGCCATTTAAACTTATTTTTATATCCTTAACAGGGTATATTAAGATAGTCATTAAGCTTGTAACACCCAGAAGAAAACGGCGAAGACTCTTTAATATATACAAGTATATCGACTTCACAATTCACGAAGCAAGATAATTCGTACCAAGAGAAATATATTGCATTCAAAGCTTCAAATTCAAAATGGTGTGCATCATACATATACACATAAGTTTTTAACTACAAGTATACACATTACAAAGCATTAGTTCCAATAAATTCGCAGCGATGGTTATGATATGCTATAACAAGCACTTCAATGACTATTTCGCTTTGTTTATTATTTTTATTTTTGTATTTTTTCTTTTCTTTTGGTTTTGCCAACATTCAGCCGAATCCTGTTGAGCTTTCCCGTTTTGTTTATATTACCAAATTGCCTGCAATTGCTTTCATCTACATACAAGTATATCTGGCTGTGTTGAGTTGTGCGCTGAGTGAGCGATTGTCACATTTGATTATTTCTAAATAAACATGCCGTACACAAGTTCGCCACATACACTAAACATACACCATATATATACACATTCGTGTGCATGTGTGTATGATCAATTATTCAAGTTTCAACACTGTGAGGGTGGCACACGGCGGCATACAAACAGCACATGGACGTTTGAAGCACAAACTCATAACAATAAATAAACACATATACACATGTACATATGTATATATCGTATTTTATCGTAGGCTCTGCACACTTTTATGGTTTTGGATACACATGTGGATATGTTGGCGCGTCAGTGTTTTGTTATGCGTTAAAATCCATTTCGTATTTTGGTTTTCGCTAGCGCTTTGCCACAATTTTAGCAGCATTTAATGCAGCACATAAATTCTCATTTCACTTCACATGTTTCATCAATAAATTTCAGGCCGTCATAGTGCTGTTTAATGTATGTTTGTACATATGTATTTATACACTTTTATTTTATCTTTTTTTACGCAACAGAAATATATTTCAACGCACGCGTTTGTGTGTGCTTCTTCTTTCATACTTTATTGAATTTTATTTATGTTACACTTAATTTTCATTTCATTTTCTTAGATTTTATGGCAAAGCTTATTTTTTACCTTCTCCACTTTATATTCAATATTTGACAAAATTGCTTTGCTATCTGATGCACACACATTCTTTAAATGCATAAAGTATTACTTTTATGTAGACCATTCTGCAGTTTATTCACTTTTCTCTTTTTTCTATGCTCACATTCAATTTTTTTTACTTTTCCACTTTAATATTACTATCTTAACAAATTTTCTTCGTATCGCCCGTTTACGGTGTGTCGAAACGTCTGTGGCGCATCTTTGCCAAAAGTCAACTAACGAAAGAATTTTGTCACGAGAGCGCCCTTAGCTAAGCTGCAGCGTATTGCTCTTTTATGAGGATCTTAGTCTGTCGGTTGTGTAAAATTGATCTCCCCAATCTGAGTGATCAACAACTCAGCGTTGTATTTGCTGAGCACAAAGTTCCCCCTCTGTTTACGTTTAGCTCAATAATGCATAGATATTTTTGGGACAATTTGCTTAGAGTCTAGTATAGAGAATATACGAAACTATATAGAGAATATATAAAAAGAAAACGTTTGTTGTCAGCAGTATACTTTGGGGATCTTTAAGACAATGGTGTGCATATTATTAGGTAAAAGTTGATGTATTAACCCTGATGTTACAAGCTCAAGAAATTGCTTTCAAGTTGCAATATACTCACTAAAAATATATATATTCAAGTATTTTAAACGGTTTCCATGACGACGGCATCTGGCAAACATTATTAATCACCAAGTTATCTACAACACGGCTCTCAATTTAAATCAATTGTAACAAATATTTTTGAGCCCTGAAAAATAGTATGAAAAACTCTTAACAAGGTGTTAATTTTAAGATCAACGTTAATAAAGAGTTGTGGAGCAGATGTAAGCTTTCAAAATCTGAAAAAGTCTGAAGTCTGCCGTTATTGTGGAGTAGACGAAAATAATGAATTAGGCTTTAAAAAATAACATTATTTCGAAAGCTCTACGGATGTAATTGCTTTTCTAATTCTGTGATAGTGTTACAACACACTTTCAAATTTTTACTAAATGTCTTAAAATTTAGATTTGTTAATTTTAGTAAAAACAAATACTCTATCATCGGATCCACACAAGCTCTAATACCCTTCACATGCATTTTTTAGGTATTACATAACACGAGATCAATCCTAATGTCTGCGATTTAAAGATATGACTGGGTTTCAAGCCAGTGGTTATTCACCAATATTGTTCAATTATTGTTTAATTGGATTTTTACACAGGAAGCCTAAGGCTTAAATAATTACCATGAAACTCTTCAATATGCTACACCTTACTTTCTTCACCAAGTTTGCTTTAGGACGGTAAAAAACGTGCTAGGAACTTCATATTACCGACCGTAATAGCTGAATCACCGAAAATTATACGAAATATATGTCCAATACCAACGAATTGCTGGTTGAACAACCGTATTAAGTACATATTGCTTTAAGAAATACATAACTTATAAAAGTGGTATGGACCGCAGGACATCGTTTATTCTATTTAGATCAAGTATGTGTATCTTTACAGCTCTTTAGCTGTGGTGATTTTATCTATGGAGTTGAAGTAAGCTCTTTATATGATTTTAAACAATAATTTTTATTATTTTTTACTCTCGTTACTATTTAGTTAACCTTAACGCAATAGAAAGTAAAATTTCAAATATCTGAAAGCGCAATTCCTTTATCCAGCAAAAGTATTGAGAGCATTTGTATTATCACTAATTGTAAAATAATTACAGGAGCATTAGTATATTATATACAAAAACATTCCTCCTCCTCAGTGGCATTGCAGCACCACATCTTGAATACGTCTATCTCTTTTTAAAAAAGGAAAATATTTCTGGTAATGCATAGAAACTGAAGGAGGGTAAAAACTCAAATAAACTTACGCGACATTATTTAAGTTAAACTAGACACTGTTATCTCTCTATGCTGCAGCAGCGGTGATTAAATTTCCCATCTTCGTTAGCTAAGAGTACGATTATAACTTACGTCCACTTTCTTATTGTTGTTGCTGACTATTTTACATTCTACAATTTCCCCAGGCAGTTGCAGTGCTTAGTTAGTTAATTGCATGCAAAGACTGACTACCTTAATGTTCAGACCAAATAAGAAGAATAAAAAATGGCAAAAGGAGATAAAATGCAATCTATTTCCTTTTTCAGAGAAATCGCGTTGCACCTTCGATATATAGATAACGGCTTCTGTTCAAATGTATATATGCGTATATATTATATATTACAGTATATACTTGTATGGTAGAAACTGCAAACACTTCAATAGCACATTGCCTTTATATAAGCTTCTTTGGCTTTCCTTTAGTTAGATTTGCCGTTTAACCGTAAATGCAATAGATCTAAAACTACGAAATCTCCGTGTTTTCCTCACACTTGTTTTCGCATAGCCTCTACAATGCTGCCGCAGCCACAGCCTCTTGAAACCAAGTTCGCAAAATAAATTAATGCTGTCAGCAATTTTTTTTTTTTTTAATGTCGTAAGCGCTTTCACTTTTTCTTTCATGCCTTCGTTATCAGCGCAAAACTGAGGATAAGATCTGCGAGTCTTAATGTCTCTTCATTCTGCGTTGTATTCTGTTGATTTTCTTGTGAATTTTTTGCTTTTCTTTTTGTATTTGTATACGCATTCTTTACGCTGAGAGTACTTATCTTAAGTTTATTGCTTTTAATGTTATTTCATTTCGCTATTGTTTTATTTCCTTCCAATTTTCTATTAGGTGTCATTTGATTGTCGCGTCACAAAGGAAAACTACGGTGCGGAAAGCAATGGAATCGCACCTCGCCAGCAGCTGGAAGCGATTTATGGTGAAAATAATTTAATTTCTTCTTTTTATTTAGAACAATTGTTAAGCAAAAATACTTAGGAATGCTTAGAATTTTTTCAACAGAAATTGTTCAATTAATTAATTAATTTGGTAATGTGAGCTCACAGCTTCAGCTGGATGACTTAAGTTTAATGAAAATAATCTATTAACTTTTATTTATAGTTTTTAATAGATAATTTTTTTGAAAGCTGATTGCTACTTTCTACTGGATAATTATATAGGAGCGGTTATATCGCAACGATCTTATTTTGGGAACAATTCGCACCCTTGCTTGGCAAGGTTCTAAGTCTGCTCGGAATAAACTTATATGTATAATTGTTATCACTAAACAGTTAAACCATCAGTACCCGAATCGAAAATAATTAGAATATTAGAAACTGAGTCAAATCACGGTCTATCTAAATCAAATCACATGAATTACGTGACTAAGTGCCAAACGGCACAGACGAAATGATGCAGCTTAGCTGTCAATTCAAATAAATCTGAACTGGTTATAGTAACCAGGTGGAATAAAATCTCGGATGCACCCCTTCACTCATTGGAGGATCTCCATTTCACCCTTAGAACTACAATATTTAGGAATCATACTTGATAGAAAGCTATCATGGCAGCCCAATGTTGAGGAGAGGGTGAGGAAGGCATTGGTTGCCTTATGTTGTTTTGAAGATGCTATTGGGAAGCGTTGGAGTCTCTCACAAAAAGTTTTGCTTTGGCTTTACCAAACCGTAGTTAAGCCAATATTGTTCTATGGTGCATCTGTTTGGTGGAGGGCGTTTGGTAAGGTCAGCTCTGCGAAACTGGACACATTAAAGGTCCCAGAAAGAGACATTCTGAAATCATCTGTCACTTCGACTGCAAGCCTGATAACTTGGACCACTGCACCGCGGAAACTACTGCTAACGTCATCTTCTCCGCCCTCGTACCTCACAGAGATGTCAGTTGAGGTGGAGTTGCTGGAGAAGAGGCGCACGAAGCTTTTTTGCAACTCAAACGAAAGGTTGGAGAGTTAGTCTTCTGTCGGGAGCTCTCAATCAACACTTTCTTCAGACCGCCAGACTAATATAGTGTCTCTAAAGCAGAAGTGGCAGCCATCAATAAGCTCAACGCTAGTCAAGGTGTGCATGATCTCACTAGCAGTAGCATCAAGCTACTTCCGTATTAAATTGGTCTGGTTGCCTGACCATGACGGAATCGTCGAACATTGTAAAACCGATGAACGACGGCCATTTTGATCCATACCTAGGGGTTCTGGGCATCACAACGGACAACCGTCTATAGCAGTCCAAGTGGAATTATTCGTATTCATGAGCTATCAACATACTATTTACCCAACCTAACTTAACTTTAGTGTCATGACCACTTTGTAAGTAGATTCGTTATTTGATTTAGAGCAAGTCAAGTTTTTTCTTTTTTTTTTGATCAGAAATAAGTCATCGCTCTTTTTGTTTGGTATTGAACATTATAGAGGTATTAGAGAATATATATATTTGTAGGTGCATTACTCACTGATTCAGCTTAAGAACCCAACCAAGTGTGACATGGGAACCAACTTTTATATTATATATTACTTATGTGGATTTTCGGTTATTCAGTCCAAAATTGTATCTACTGAGTGGAAATGGTAGATTATGCTATAAAGTAGATTTATTTAAGATCGAAAACAATGAAAGCTAATTTCAGACAGCAAATTAAAAAATAGCTTCATAAAAATTGCTGTGAGGTATCCTGTAAACTTCAAAATCTTATATTTCTTCAACATTGTCATATAGAATCATTAATTTTGTTTTTAGAACATAACAGACAATAATAGAAACCGTAAAGAATGTAACAAAAACCACAAAGTATGGAATACCAAGCGAAGCCACATAATTAAATATTTTATGCAAATTGATATTCATGAAAATATACTTACATATATGTACATGTGCACAAACTTCCAGGTATACATACATCGGAAATCTGAAATATAGCGTAGCGAACATCGAATAAATCAAATTGCTCCTAGAAAAATGCATAGCAATAAATCATATAGAACACTCACACACTCACATAAGCGCACAAATATTTAGAGTCGACCACGTACATATCTATGCATATACGCATGTGTATGAAACAATTTTGTTAATAGAAATTTACTATAAAAAAACCACATGTTCACATTTTGCGGCGCTAAATATTTGTAATTATTACAATTTGGAGCTACCAAAAAGTAACGGAAGTGCCAAGGCCGAGTTTCTACGTTTCTGCGCACCTATTTGGCTTCGCTACTTATAAGGAGAGCTCTAAAAATTAATTTTTTAACTTACCCATACCAGCAATCATTTGTTGTTGCTGGTGAGGACTTTATTGAAAAAAAGATATCCTTACAATTTCTCACTTTCATATAAGTTGTGGGAATCGAACCACACTCATCCTATGCTTAGGTACTTAT